TTATAGACCAAGAAAGAGTAGTATGAGCCTATGGTGACTTAGCATCATGGCCTTAACCGCCATCAAAAATGGACAAAAGTGGTTGCCGCGTCACGGGGAGGAGTGGGACCCGCCCTTCTGCACCATTTGAATGTTGGTCTTGATGTGAGTGCACTACTTGAGTGATCAGAACAGGCCAGCTAGATAAGTGCTCGGATACATGCAGACATCTGGAGAGACAGCGTCACTCGTTTTCACGTGCCTTGCTTATAGTCATTCCAGCCACAGATCTGTCGGAGCAGATTTCCACTGCAGGCACCGAGGCCTCGGGGACGGGCAACATGAAGTTCATGTTGAATGGGGCGCTGACTATTGGGACCATGGACGGGGCCAACGTGGAGATGGCGGAGGAAGCCGGGGAAGAGAACCTGTTCATCTTTGGCATGAGGATAGATGATGTGGCCGCTTTGGACAAGAAAGGGTGAGAGAGCAGCCCCTCCTCGTTGGGCAGGTCCCTCCTGGGGTAACGTACAAGGCGCCGGGCTCAGGTGCTGGGGTCGCCGCTCTTTGTTACCAGCCGTGGCAGAGCTGGCCGCTGTGAGCTATTCACTTCTCCACACCTGTGATTTTTACTTTGATCAAAGGATGAACCAGTTTCTAGTTGAAGTTTTTACCTATAATTTAAACCATCTAGTGTTCCTTTAAGATCTCAAGGAGATGGACTGAAATGTGGTGGAGGATGGCGATGGATGTACAGAAGCACCCAGGAATACCTGTTTCACTTAATGTCTAGATACGTTTATTAACCCAGATTCAAATAAGAAATAAAGAGCGAGCGCTGTCCAGAGGAACTATGGAGATCACAAGATCAAGAGGGTGTCGAATATACTTCCTGACCCTTGGAAGTAAATTTCCACTCACTAGCAACAAATTTGGGAATCTGTGGGTCCAAAAAGCAACTGGTCCACTTAACATAACGCCTGTTTAGAGCCATAAAGTCTGCTTTGAAAGGCATCCTACTGTATTTTACCAGATGGCACTATTGCTCTGTGGCTAGAATTTTTATTATCCAATGTCCTTTGTGCCTTTGGTTACAAGGAACTAATCAAATTTAAGGGGGAAAAAATTTCAAGATCTAGTCAAATGTTATTTCTACCCATGTTGACCTCTGTAATGACTTCAGTAAATGCTAGTATTTCTGCATGCATTTTTCACAGCATTTTTCGTGTCTAGTGTGTTGTAAATCCCCAAGACTCACAGAACCTTCTTATTACCCCCACCCTGCAGATATGTGGCAAAGGAATATTACGAGGCTCTTCCAGAGCTGAAGCTGGCCGTTGATCAAATTGACAAGGGCTTCTTTTCTCCCAAGCAGCCCGACCTCTTCAAAGACTTAGTGAACATGCTCTTTTATCATGACAGGTAAGTTCCCGCAAGAACATGGTGGTACTGGGGCTGTGAAAAGGGAACATCTTAAACCAACTACAACCCATCCATTTGGATCAGCATAGATCTGCGATCTGATAAGCTAACCTACCCCTGGAAAGAAAAATTAGCTGTTCTCCACTAGCAATGCCCTGAAGGCTTAAGAATAAGACCCACAATCTGGTATTCTTTTTCTCTTTCCACGGTGCACCCAGCTTTCAGATGCATCCATAGGATGACATTGTTACATGTGGGCAGAACCATGGAAAGTGGAGGGCTGGCTAAAATTCCTGTGAATAGAAATGCAAGTTTGGTGAACTAGCCGTGCCTGACATTAAGCAAAAGAGAATTTTAAATACCATCTTAGCACACATCTGTTAATGAGGCTTTTTGTTGTCTTGTTTTTTCCTTCCAATTGCAAAAAACCAACCAGGTTTAAAGTCTTTGCCGACTATGAAGCCTACGTCAAATGTCAAGAAAAGGTCAGCCAGCTGTACATGGTAAGTACGTCACTAAGACGTAGAAAGGAAACCAGTTCACTGTGGTAATTAAAATTTGTGTGTCTCTACATTAAATCTATGTAACAGGGCCCCATTAACCAATCAGAAAAGACAAGTGAGGCAACTGTCTGGGTTATTCAGATCAAAACTTGACTTTTCCCAAGTTCAGGCAGAGGCTAGGATTTGACATTTCAGTAGCAGTTGTAAATTTTTTATTATTATTATTTTTTTTGGTGAGGAAGATTAGCCCTGAGCTAACATCTGTTGCCAATCTTCCCCTTTTGTGCTGAGGAAGATTGGCCCTGGGCTAACTTCCGTGCCCATCTTCTTACACTTTATATGTGGGATGCCTGCCACAGTGTGGCTTGACGAGCAGGGCCTAGGTCCACACCCGGGATCCGAACCTGCGAACCCTGGGCCACCAAAGAAGCGAAGTACATGCATTTAACCACTACGCCACTGGGCTGTCCCCTGCAGTTGTAAATTTTTAATATCCAACTAAAAAAAAATCACAAATAATTCAATATTTATTGAGCACCCACCCTGTAGCAAGCATGTCCTGGAAGCTAAGGTTATAAAGCCAAATTAAATACTCATTTCCCCCACTCACTCACTCAACAGAGAGGCACGGGGGCACTGAGAGCCTGGCAGGACGAAGTCAGGGCGCTCCTACCCCCCCCTCAGGGAGCCTGGTTAGTGCTGGCATCCTCAACCAGAAGTATGCATCAGAATCCCAAGGCAGCTTTCTTAAAGGACGAAGGCAGCCCCTTTTGAGAGACTCTGATCCAGTAATCCGTGGGATCCCTCAGTATCCAAAAAACCTGCTGAGGTGATTCTCAGGCTGAGCCTGTCCATTGAGAGAAGGACTGACCCCTATTCTTTGAAAATTGCAAAGTAGGTCCCTCTCCTGGGCTACCCATGGGGTGGGGCTACATGAATAGCATATAATGTGTTCAAAGAAGGGAGGTGTCATATTTGAATTAAAAAATAAAAAAGAAAGGAAAGGAACAAGAAAGATTATACTTTACTAAAAAAAAAGAAAAAAAAAAGCTAGAGCAGTGTGACTAACCCTTCGCGTGCAGCATCTTTATCAAACAGCCCAGCCTCTGGGAGCATTTGGTGAGTTTGTGGGAAGGTTGATCGTCTCTGATAGGAGAGACTTCGTAAGCACAGGCAGCACAGAACAGACGCAGGAGGAGGCAGCTCTGTGCCAAGACTCAGGACAGAGGACGCCCTGGGCCTCTGGGCGTGGCTGCCATTGCCCACAGTCTCCACTTCTGCCCTCCAACTGGAAAGTCATTAGATGGCAGAACAGCGGGGTCCCTGCAGTCTCCACCTCCTGCCCTCTGGACACATCAGCCACTATTTCCAACAGAAACACACTTCACTAGCATTTCTCTCTGTTCCTTTCCCAGAGCAGGTGACAGGTGGTTCCTAGGTCACCCTAGATGTCACGCTGGGGTTCTAAAATAGGATCATTCGAGGCATGTACTGCTTTATGGCCCTTGTCTTCTGGTAGAGTCATATCCAGTCCCTGAAAGGGCACAGGCCAGAGTGAGCTGAAGGTAATGGCTGTAGGCTAGGAGGCGCAGGACAGAGTTAAGCTGAGTGGCTCCCCGCCTGCTTCCTGAGCATGGGAGAGCAGCCATAGGCGGCCTCGAGAACTCAGACAGGAAAGAGCTCCGCCCCCTCGAGCTCACTCCTCCTGATCTCAGGCCACGCGGTATGAAGACAGGCTACAGAGGAAAAGAAAGATAACAGAGCAGCAAAGGAGAATAGGAAGAAGGGCGAGGACAGGTGTGAACGTCAGGCTGCACAGTGGGTCTCTCTTGTGAGATTATGGCTCAATCTAAAGACCCCCTTCTCCAAGCCCAGCATTTGGTTCAACCTTTCTTGTTCATTAGTGCAAGCTGCAGTTTTTACTCTTAACAATAATTATTAGCTTAGAAAACATGTCCCATGTGGTTGGGAACTCTACTCATTATCCATTTAAATAGTTAAAGTGAAGACAAGAGGCTTTCACTTTCCCTCATTGTAGTAAGTTTCCGAAGTCTGAATAAACTAATTTCAGGCTCTGTTTTGCAGTACCTTAAGGAATGATAGTAGTTTTCGTTTTTCTTTTAAATGCTTATCTGCATTGCTAATGGCTTTGAATCATGTTCTGGTCATTTCCAGGGAACTTTTAGAGTTCTTTATAAAATCATGAGGCTATAAAATAAATAGTTTCTTATAATCTTTTACATAAAAACTACGAGGTTTGGATATTATATATTTTATTAAAGATAAGGTCTTAATTGCTCCTGTTTTGAAACCCCAGTGGAGTATTTGGGATTCAGTGTAAACCTACTGGGGCATCTACCTTCAGAAAGAGCAAAAGAGAGGCAGGTCAGTCAGGTCCCCCGTCAGGTTGGTTGTCTGCATGAGAGCTAACAGTCCAGAGTGGTGTTCTTCAGACTTGGACGGAGAGCTACAGGTTAAGTCTCTTAATGTGGCATCCCGCAGACAATGAATGTTAGTCCTTTCCTTCCCCTTGTAGTTTAACGGGAGGCGAAATAAAAATACAGTGTGGGAAATATGGCTTCCATGCCAAAACATTGTCACCGTAGCAGAAATTACCAATTAGGGAATTTACATCCATGGTTTCTCTTCAAGTGAAAAATACTTTGTTTTCGTTCTTAAGAGAAATACACTCTAAATAGGAGGAAAGAACCCTCTGCCTTATCTGGCTCTCAACTGTGAAACAAATGTATTTATGATTCACGACAATTTACTCCTGTCTTTTTCCCCATGAAACGTGCTGGGTTATGCTTGGCCTGCCGTTTGTCATAAAGCTCAATGGGCTCTCAGGCCCGGGGTCATATGTGTGTGCGTGTGTTGTTTACAGAATCCAAAGGCCTGGAACATGATGGTACTCAAAAATATAGCTGCCTCGGGGAAATTCTCCAGTGACCGGACAATTAAGGAATACGCCAGGGACATCTGGAACGTGGAGCCCTCGGATCTCAAGATTTCCCTGTCCAGTGAAGCTAGCAGTGGGGCGAACAAGGCTGACAGAAAGTAAGTCGTAAAACAAATCTGGAAAACACAGCCTGTTACTGGACTCGAACATTTTTACGACATTCTTTGATTTTGCTTTATTGGCTAATAATCCAGTTAAGTATCTCTGGGAATTGGGGGGAAGCATATGACTGTATTAGGGCTAAAAATAAAGTATCAATTTCCAAGGACCACAAGAGCGCCAAAACTTCTTATTTTATCACAGATTGAGCAGCGTGCTTGAACTTTCCCCAGTGCTGTTCGGAAAGCTAGAAAACTGCTTAGAACTTTTAATGCCATTTAAACTATCAAACTAAAATACAAACTATTTAACTACATTTCTTACACCGCTAAGTCCAAACCAAAGACCATCTTATTCACAAATATCCCAGGATGTTTGGTAACTACACATTTTTAGATGGGATCCAATTTTACCAGATTCCGATTCTCCACAGTGAATTGCAGCATGTTCCACAAAGTAGATATGACAGCTAAATGAGAACGTTCCACACCGCCCGACAGCTATGCTTTCGAGTACCAAAATCCCTACAAGGAACTTGTAGAAATGCCAATGACGTCAGCTCATCCAAGCAGCCCGGTATAATTTTACATAAAAATACGCATCACAGGTGGGGTTTGGACCAAGTCTTCGCTGAAGATCTCCTCTGCTCTCAGACCTCATGCCCACTGCTTGCTCAGGAAATCTCTGCAGAAAAAGGACCGAGGTCAGCTCCCCACTCTGGTCTAAGGGAGCCAGAGCAGCCCTAACTGCCTTTAAGGGAAAAATCATCACAGTTAGCAAAGCAACTCTTACCTCACGGTTTTTAACAACGTGGGGCTTTTACAAAGCAAGTTGTGTTGGAAGCCAGGGGGAAAGATCACCATCTTGACCCTCTCTTTGTTCCTGTATGCATTGTGTGCAGTTTCATAGAGCTGCAGGGGCAGAAAGACAGAGACCAAAGGCTGACAATCAAAGCTGTTGTTTTCCATTAATTTTCCTAAAAGGGCACAGGAACAGCCAGCTTTGGGGCAGTTAGTCCCACTAAGTCAGAGATATGGGGCTTTCCACATTCCCAGCTGGCTGCCTCCACAACCAAGGAACTAAAAGCTGCACAGGTCACGTAGACTACCGAGAGACCCTCCCTGCAAGGGGACAGGGAGTGCGATGCACCCAGTTTGTCTAAAAGAAAAGAAACCGCATCCCCATTTTTAGAGCCGCCATGGGAGAGACTACATGCAGGTTCCCACAGCAACCTGGGATCCTCTCTACACCTGCAGATGCACAGACCCCAGAGGAGGAACTGGGACCCACCACAGACACTCCTGTGAGCTGAGTAGCACGGGACACTGAAGCTTATTGTGTACACCAAGCCGCCTGGCTATTTAGGTGTGGAGAGAATCCCTTTTAATGTAAGAGAGCCTCCTTTAGGCCCTAATCAAAGTTTGGCTGGATGAGAAAATGGTGAAATAAGTAGAGTAAGTTTCAGTTTACCTGTTTTCCAATCTCCAAAGGCACCGTCCTGTCATCCTCACCGTGTAAGATGAGAAGAGGAGAAGACAGGAATTTAACACTAGGGACGAGGAGAAGAAAGGTGTTCAGTTCAAGAATGATATGTTGGGATTTCTCCTCTTCTAAGTTAAACCTTTAGCAAAACTTGAGGTTTGCTCAAAATACAAGAACTCTCTTTCCTTCCCTCCAGGAATAACAGCTTCATATGTAATAAACTTCACACAGTAAGATTCTCTCTCTGTTTACTCATACAATTTAATTAGGAATGTAAGTAATTTATTTCTATGTGATTTTTTAAAATAATGAGGAAGGAAACACTGAATTTGTACAGAGTTAGAAGAACTTCACCTTTTTCCTTATTCTACCTCATTTCATAATATCTGGAAAGTTTTAATTAAAAGACTATAAAAGAAAACAAAATAACTCAAAACCTGAAGGACCAAAGAGAACTCTTGGTGGCAGTTTGTTTACTTTTCACCGTAAGCGCGCAGGATGGACATGCGCTCGACAGCTTTGATCAGCTTGCTGGTCAAGCCCCTGGTCTGGTAATTCAGAGAGGCGATGGCATGAGGGATGACTTGTCCCCACTCTCATAACGTTCTCAAACAGTACTTCCTGTCCCCCCGAATTCTGATACCACCTAGCCCGCCACAGTGACTCTGTTACTCCTGAGAACGTTAGATCCCACCAGTGTGTTGAAATAGAAAAGATATTGACAACGACTGCCTATTGTAGGCACTCAGATTCTCCAGCTGCAAGAGGCTGACCGGGCAAATTCTAGTCACTGGACTTGCTGTTGGGTTAGAAGACTATGTGGTGGATGGTTTTGGTTCCATGGGGAATAAGGCCTAGAAGTCAGGGGTCCCCCGAGGAATGCCAGGCTAGACCCTAGAGGACCTTTACAAGGTCCTGATAGACCCTAAATCTACATGTCCCTTTATGACTTCAGAGAAAGTACTGAATCGGTGAAGCCGTCAAATTAGACATGAGGAAAATATCAAATACTAAAAATCTGCAGATGCCATACCCCAAATCCTAGTGCCCATCTCTGAGCCTTCTCGTCTACCCATCCAGCAATCACAGGAGTGCTACCCCCCAGAACCCCACGTGGTCATGATGGACGTCTTCTCATCAGCGGCTTACTTTTCATCATTAGGGAACACTATTCTGTCTTTCCTCAGGGCATCCATAAGCGTGTGTAAAACTCCTGGAAGTTTCCGGTAAATCTATTTTTTAAAAAGAAAAAAAATTAAAACATGGCCTCTAGCTATGTCATTTGTTGTGTTTCCCACCATGAACTGTAGTAACATAAAAGTGACTAAGTATAATAAACTTTTTTAAAAAACAAAACTTGTATGATTTTAAAAGTAATTCATGTCATTGTGGGGAAGTCGGAAAATATAGAAAGGGAGAAAGAAGAAAGAAATCACACATAATCCCACTATCCATGAAGAACCACTGTCGACGTTTCTTGTTTTTACTTCCTCCCCTTCTTTAAACTCCTGTTGCTTCATACTTGTAAGGAAGCAATGATATGCGTAATCTAAAAATTTCTTCTACAGTGGACGTAATTAACTGGTTAGCTGGGGAACAGAATATTCTGATTAGTCAAAAGTTCTGATGAAAGAATGCAATACGTAGTTAATTGGTTTTAAAGGATTTGAACATTGTAAACTGTTGAATACCATTTAATATTGCCATGCTCTAAAAAGGCATTTTAGGTTTTAACAATGACTCCAAATGTAACAATTATCTTTCTAAACACTGAATTTCCTGTTTACTGGCAAATTCCAGTAAATAGAATGCTAGCTAAATCAGCTTTTACCATATTTTGATGAAGTCAATAGGTAAATTAGTTTATATGCCCTAAAAACATCCATTTCAACTGAAAATGAGGAAAGGAGAGACACCCTGAGCAATACTGCACCTTCCTCACAAACTCTGAACCCTACCTCCAAACTATACCCCAAGCCCACTCATTTCTCTCTATTCCCACCATCGCCAGCCTAACCCACCCTCCAGCTCTTGCCTGGATTGCGCCAACAATCCCACGTGGCGCCCTGCTTCCACCCGTGCCCTGCCGTAATCCAGTTCCTGCAGGCAAACCAGTGAGCATGGTGATGAGCACCTTCCATCGTATCACTCTGTGCTTCACATCCTCCAAAGGCACATGGACCAACCCAAGTGTCACCTTGGCCTTTGAGGCCTGATGGAATCTGGCCGCTGCCTCTCCTATCACTAAGCTCCCTCTGTCCACCTTCAGGCCCCTGCCTTTCCATCCCCTCGGCCCAAGACCACCAGCGTTTCCCGTGACAGCTGCTCCTCATCATGCCCATCTCAGCTCAGGTGACATTTCTTCAGAGAGGCTTTCCCCAACCTGCCATCGAACCTCCCCCTCCAGTCATTCCGTCACATTGTTCCTTTCACAGCACTTCCCACGATGGAAAATCATCTGAGTGTGTCCTTGCCTCTGCAGCAAGGATATAAACTTCAAAGGAGGACGGACCACAGCTCTCTTATTCCCTGTGGTATTCCCAGAGCCTAGAAAAGTTCCTGGTGCCTGATAGACACTCAATAAATGTTTGCTAAAGATGGAACGAATCCATTGTGCAAAAATCCCTGATGTGCACTTCAAGCTATTATCTGCCATTTCCATCTTAGTGTGACTGAATTTTGTTCAGATTTTATTCTTTGGGATAGATTTGCAAAGAGGAAAGACTGGCAAAGTATGACACATATTCCTCTGTTGTGCCTGGGGGGGGGGTGTACAATGTAGTAAGGGGGACGTTGCCAAGAGAAGGAAATGTGTACAGAATAGGTGGGCTGGGGCCAGTGAATCCAAACGTCAGCTCCACAGTTTTAAAAAGAATTATGTCCACTGTGAAAGCAATTTTTATATTATGTGCATCATTGCTCCTTTATGAGGCTGGAGGAATTAGTCAGTCTTTACGCGATGTCCTTTGCTGTAGTCTCCCACTATGAACTGCAGTAATGTAGAGAATAGGAACTTTCTAAATATAGTACACTTACTTTTTTTCTAATTTTGAAAAGTAATTCATGTCATTGTAGGGAATTTGGCAGGAAAATGGGTACAGAATATGTCGGTTGGGGCCAGTAAAGACCAACATCTGCTTCGCTGTCTTGGCTTACGCCCGCTCTTTGCAGTACCCCGTGGTTGTCAGGCCTGTGTTTTCTGTGTGGTCTCCTAGTGGATGATGTGCACTCAGATCCTTACACTGCCTCCGTTCTTTCTCCTTTGCCCTCCTCTTACTCATACTGAGGGCAAGATATCGTGTTTGGTTTTCTTTAACCTTTGTCTTCTGATTCCACCACCCCTGGAATCGGGACTCCTCTGAGGGAAATCCCTCCAGCAACTCATCTCCAACTCTAAAGGTGGAAGAAGAAAGCGGGCCCCGGTGAGTCTCCCCCGTTGTTCCTTGCTCATCACCAGCAGGGGTGCCCCTTGAGACTCAGAGGTCATACCGTCCCCTGCAGCCCAGACCACAGCCATGGGGTCCTGATGGGTCTCCCAGCCTCCTCTCTCTTCTGGATACCACCAGGTAAATATTCCTAAAATAGCAGTTGCATGGAATCAGCCGTTACAAAGCTTTGAGAGTGCCACACTATCCACTTTACAACAGAACTGAGAACTCCTAGCTTGACTGCAGGCCCCTCCACATCTGGCCACAATCTTGCATTCCAAAGGCTGCTCACCTCCAGTCTGTCTGCCTGGAGTTAGAAGATGTAGGATTGACTCCCATTTCCTCTTCTTATAGGCTGTGTGGCCACTGGGCAAGCCTCTACTCCTCCATTTCCCTCAGCTCTAAATGAAGGCGATGATGCCACACTCACAGAGCTGCTGTGAGGATGTGAAAGGAGGAGAGTGTGAAAGCTCTCATGTAGAAGCCCTGCCTGATTCTCAGCATCTTATAATTGCCCCACTCCAGCCATGCACCTTGGCTCACATCCTCCCCTCCTCTCAGTCTTACCTGACTCCTCTACTATAACATCAGGAAGGGAGTGTAGATCCAGTCTTCCTGTGAGTCTTACACTTGCATACAAGACCTCCCTTCCTGAATTCTCCCCACCCTGAAATTACAATTCTGGGTCTTCCCTAACACTTCCCTTCGTCCACTTTGTGACCAAAAGAGTGAAGAAGGGACAAGCATTGAGTGCCCACTAGCAGCTGGGTACTTTGCATAGATCACTTTACTTAATTTAATCTTCACAACAGCCCTGTACAGTAGGCAGTGTCAACCTCATCGTAAAGATGGGAAAACTCGGAGAAGGGAAGTAACTCACCAAGGTCATAACTGGTTAGTGGCAGAGGCCAAATCTGAACCCAGATCTATCTGGCTCCATAGCCATGCTCGTTGTCCATAGGTCATGCTGCCTTCCTGTTCTGAGTAAAGAAACTGATTCCAAAGTGACACATAGGAATCCCTGTCATTACTTTCCTGTCTCCCCAACTAGGCAGGAAGCCTCTAGAGTGCAAGGTCCTATGCCTTTGACTACATCCACATGTCCCACACCATCTTCGCTTTCTTACTCAACAGTAATGTTCAGAGTCGTGGCACTCCACTGATAATAAAAACAGCCAAGAGCCACTGAGCACTTGCTCTGTACTAGACACTATTATAGATGCTTTTCATATATTAATTCATTTAATTATCACAACAGCCCTGAATAGACCAATTTTACCCCATTTTACAGATGAGGCAGTCAAAGTATTAGAAGCAATTAGTACAAAGTTACACAGCTGTCAAGTGACAGCCTGGAAATCAAACCCAGGTAGTCTGACACCAGAGCCATGGTTCTTCAAGACAGCATGGTACCACAGGGCTGCTACACTTCTAGACCATCAAAGTGCCTATTAAACTAAGGTTTTGTGACATTTTAAATAAAAATCCAAACTTTAAAATATTGAGAGATTTCCCACTTCTAATAATAGAAGAATTATTACAGGCCAAACCTTTTGCCAAAGACAACTAGAAAAGCTAGGAAAGTATTTTAAAAACCATTCTTTGAAGGTGTCAGAGATGTACCAAGGCAGTGAGGTCTTGAGTGATCTAGATCCCAGAGGGAAGAGAAGCTCAGAGAGGTGAGCCTGACATTCAGCACCACTTTTCTCCTTGAGACATAGCTCAGGCAGAAGAAAGCAAGAAAGTTGAGGCAAAGAACACAGAACAAATGACACAAACAGAATAGAACGTAGTAAGAGTAGATTTAAACCAAACTATCATAATTACATTAAATGTAAACAGACTAAATACTACAATTAACAAGCAAAGTTTGTCATACTGGAAAAGAAATCAAAACCCTACTATATGCTGCTTACAAAAGATACATGTTACATATAAGAATTCAGACAAGTCGAAGGTCAAGGGATAGAAAATGATATATCATGCAAACACTATTCAAAACAAAGGTATATTCATGTTGGACAGAGTTGATTTGAAGTCAAGAATTATTAATCATAAGAGGGGATATTTCAGGATGAAAAAGGATCAATTCACATGGAAAATATGAAAATTACATTATTATTAGATGTATGTTCCTAATAATACAAGCTTTAAAAAACTAAAGCCAAAATTGACAGAACTAAAATAGAAATAACTCCACAATCATGGTGAGATATTGTAATACTCTTCCCTGAGTGACCAATAAAACAACCAGTTGAAAAAAATCAGTAAGGAACTTGAAGAATTGAACAGCATGATGAATAATCTGAGCTAATTGATATGTATAGGACACTGCACCAAAAACAGCACATTCTTTTCAAGCATGTGGACATTGACCAAAGTTGACCATATTTCGGGACATAAAGCAAGTCTGAACAAGTTTCAGAGAGAGAAGTCATGCAGAGTATATTCTCAGATCATGGTAGCATTGAGCTAGAAATCAATAACATAATAAAATTTCAAAATGTATAGAAATTATGAAATACACTTCTAAATAACCCATGAGTCAAAGTCCAATATTATAAAATATTTTGAACTAAATGATAATTAAAATACATTTGGAAACTTGTGGGATGCAGCTGAAGTATGGCTTAGGTGGAATGTGCCTTAATGCATAAGCTAGAAAAGAGGAAGTGCTGAAAATAAATTATCCAAGTACCATCTCAAGAAATTTTTTAAATAAATTAAATCTAAAGAAAACAGAAGAAAGGAAATAATCAAGGTAAGACCAGAAATTACTAAACAGAAAGCCTACAATACAAATAATCAACAAAGTCTGAGTTGTTTCTTTGAAAAGACTAATACAATTCATTAACTCTTGCTGTAAGTGCTGGCTGCCCTCCTTCTCCTTGCCCTTGGACGATGGAAGCCATTGCTCCTGGAACGTGATGCCACCTTCCCCCACCCAACCCCAGGAATGGTGGAATCAACCACCACCCTTGACTCAACCTTACAGTTCCACGTGGATCAGGTGAAAGTTGGACGTTACCTGAGGTCACATCTTGCTCTGCTCTTTCCCCTTCCCTATCCTATAACCCTCATTCAAATGACCTTCCAGGCTTTTCCTGAAGAGCACTCCGTCAATAGTTCACACAAACCAAATCCCTGCCATGGGCTCTGCTTCTAGGAGGACCTGACCTAATACTGAAATTAAGAAAATCTAAACAATAAATAAATATATATATAAATAAACTTGTAACTACCAGGTCCATGAATTGGATGACTCAATATTAGAAAGCTATCAATTCCCACAAATTGATCTATAGATCCAAAGTAATCCCAACAAAAAAATCCCAGGAAGTTTTTTTTTTTTAGAAATTAACAAGTATATTCTAAAACAAATAGTGGAAATACAAAGGGTCAAGAATAGTCAAGATAGTCTTGAATAAGAAGAACAAAGCTGAAGAACTTAGCCAGATATTAAGCCATATTGTAAAGCTACAGTAATTAATTAAGAGATTGTAGTATTCATATGAGCATGGACAGATAGACAAAGGAGAGAAATGAGAATCTACCAACAGATCTATGTATATAAAATAGGCATTGATAGATACAAACACTGGCACTGCAGAGTGTGGGGAAGGTCTGTTCAGTAAGTGGTACTGGGTCAACTGGATGGACATATGGACTCGTACAGCCTATGTCTACAAAAATACATACCTATGGATTATAGCTCTAAATGGAAAAAGTAAACAGAATTTCTAGAAATAGCATAGAAGAGTATCTTCATAATCTTTGGGTAAGCAGAGTTTTGTTAAACAGGACACAAAAGTATTAGCCATAAAAAAAAAATATTAGTAAACTGGTCCACCTTAAATTTAGGAACATCTCTTCATCATGAGATACATCAAGGGAGTAAAAAGGCAAAACAAAATAAGAGAATATACTTGCAATTCAAATAATTTTCTAATGACTCACCCTATAAAGAACTTGTATAAATAAAAAGAAAGACAACTCAATTTAAAAATGAACAAAAGACATGAATAATTATGATATCTAAATGGCTAATAAACATATGGAAAAATGCCCAACTTCATTAGTCATCAAGGAAATGCAAATTAAAACCACAATGAGAGATCAATACCAAGGCAAGGATGTAAAGCAACTGGAACTCTCATACACAACAGGTGGGAGAGTAAAGTGGTCAAGTCACTTTGGAAAACTGCTTGGCACTATTACTACTAAAGCTGCAAATATGCATGCCTTGTTATCCAGCAATTCCACTCCTAGGGTATATGCCAATGAAATACGTACACATGTTTACAGAATACACGTTCAAGAACATTGATAACAACAGTGTTCTTACTAACTCACAAACAGAAAGCAACGCTAATGCCCACAAAAAACAGATCAATAAATTATACAATGAAATACTACATGGCAATGAAAATGATCAAACTACAGCTATACATCATGGATAAAATTCTACAAATACATGTTGGGTGGAAAAAAAAGAATATGTCCTATATAATTCTACTAATATATAAAGTTCAAAAACAAAACTATGTTGCTTAGAGATGCACAGATGGGTGGTAATACTATAAAGAAAAGCATGGATATGATTACCATAAAACCCAGGGTTACACCAAGGTGAGGCTGATTGGATTGGGAAGTGACATATAGGGGTGTTAGTGATGCTAATTTCTTGACTTAGGTGTTGGTTACATGGGTGTGTTCAGTTCATAATTATTTGTTAAATCACGTATCTCCCCTATTATGTTAAATTTCAAAATTATAAAATTTCAAAAAAGAAACAAAAGTAAATGAAAAGATTGTATCTGAATTGCAAAATACCTACAAGTCACTGAATTTATTAGTAATTACTTAGAGTAATATAATAGATGCTCAATTAATGGTTATCTTAAAACGAATATTCACTTGTCTAGAACCAATTGAAAATGTGTAATTTATTAAATCTTAAATTACTTAGCATTTAGTATTTTAGATTGTAGAGGGAATTCCTGTACTGAGTTGGGGCTTAGATAGTACAGGCATTTTCAAGATTATGTGATTCTGTGAACTAGTTGTCCTAGGAAGTAACAAGCTACCCTTCTGTTGAAGTTCTAGGATGATTTATTGTACAAAAGATTCCAAAAGTAGACAGTTGGATTAAAGTAACCTTAAGACACCTTCCAACAACAATTTAAAATTTTGGGCCATGTGTCCCCTTTAAGAATCCTCTCTTGAGTGCGTGCATGCTCACTTGCTAACATTTATATGGAGGTAAGACTGGAAGCAATTGAGCATTAGGCATGGAATAAAATTATAAAATTGGGATAAGCTACACAACAGATAAAAAAACTACATCTTGTCACCCAATTCTCTATCTTCTTGAAACGATTGTCTTCTCTATCTGGGATATTGGGTAAAACCATTTGGCAGCTTCCTTGAATTCTCTAGAGACTTTCTTATTGTAAAATCATGAAAGATATATGACTTACATTCATAGGGCTAAAAATAATGAATGAGAGGTTTGTTTTCACTTTAAAAACAAATAATAATAATAAATAAACCCAAGTCAAGTCTATCTATTAAAAAATTGTAAAAGATAAGAGGTAAAGCTTTGGCTCTTATAAGCCACTCAATCTATCAGGAGAAAATAAAAGGACTACCAAATCCAAAAGCCATTGTGCCCCCCTTAAGAGCAACTGGCTAATAACCTGTCTCAGGTTAGAATAACTTAGAAACATATAAAACTAGTTAAGAAAAGGAATATGGTTAATAAACACAGGCATGGAAACAGCCTACACTTTGATGTCTTGTGAAGATGAATCAGAGACTCACCTTTAACAAGGGATAATTGATGCTTGCAACCCATATGTTGGTAAATGGAGCCTCTAGGACAATAGCATCAACTGGGGATCCTTGAAAATAACAAAAAAGACATAACTCCCCCATCATATTTAAACATCACCTTACCTAAATAAGGGGTCCTTAATGTGTTGTACATAAACTACCTGCATCAAAATCATTTGTGAAGCTTATTAATAATGCAAATTCCTGGACCCCACACAAGACTTACTGAGTCAGAAGTCAGAATCTCAGGGAAGTGGGGAGTGTGAGAATATACATTTTTAACAAGCTCCTACCCACCTAAGAGATTCCCATGCACATGATAGTTGCAAACCACTACCTTCTTCTAAAACATGACCAGACTTTCATGGCTTGGATAATTTAAGAAAGCAAAGCACTATGGGAAGGGAGAATGTTCTGCAGTCCATTGTTAAGAATGTGCCAGAGGCTGACTAGGTTGTTCTGGCCAACAGTGCCTCTGAGAACAATCAGAACGTGTATGTTGGATGGGGATATGTAGATGTAGATGTCTGAAGGTGTCTGAGGGCTACTAAATCAGTGAGATTTTGTAGAGCCAATTCCAAAAGAAAAACGCCAAGAGAGTTTGAGCTGCCTTTCCCCTCAAAGCAGTTGAAACTCTGAAAGCAACAGTGGTGGCTGAGAGCCTCAGACTAGACAGAACTTTCAGCATTCTCACCAGACCAAAAGGACAAAAATTAGAGTTCAGGATCTGACAAGGAGAAGGGCCTTAGTAAATTTCCCAGGCTTTTTGTTATGACCTCAAAGAGGTACGCACTGGGAGTAATGGTGAACTAGCCTCCTAAAGACTGAAGCCTGGCCTCAGATCAGCTCAGTTTCTGATCAGATTAAGAGATCTCCCTGCTGTAACTGCCTTTCAGGAGAAGAGTAAGTTCTAGAAGATAACATACCCCTAGTTTCAAATTATCTCTATAATTTTTCATAAACAATGCCTAGCACTTAATTAAGAATAACTAGACATAAAAGACAAAAATAGCCAGAAAACAACAAAAAAGCCAATAACATAAATAGATCAACAAAAGATCTAGATATTGGAGTTACCATATATGGACTTTAAAATAACTTATAGTAAATAACAAGTAATAAAATTATTAAAATTTTAATAATTATTAAAGCTTTACTAAATTGATATTAAAGTATTAAAATTCTCACATTTAAAATTATTTACATACATGTATTACATACATAGACACATAACTTAAATATATAAGTGATTAATATATTCAAGAAATCAATGACAAGAAAAGTTTTAGTAGAAAACCATAAATTCTATAAAAAGTAATCAAATGAAAATTCTAGAACTGAAAAATACAATAATTGAAAATAAGAAGTCAATCAACTAGTACAGCACCAGATTAGAATCAGCTGAAGAGAATTAGTGAGCTGTGTAATAGGTCAAAAGAAAATATCTAAACTAGAGCACAAAGAGAAAAAAGTTTGGAAAACCCAGAAAAGAACACTGGAGACATATAGAACAGATCTAAAAAATATACATATAATCACAGTCCCAGGGGGAGAGAAAAGGTAGAATGGGGCAGGCACACTATTTGAAGATATAATGGCCAACAATTCTCCAAAATGAACGAACATCAGGCCTCAGAGTTAAGATGTACTATGAGCCCCAAGCAGGATTCGTACTAAGAAACCCACACCTAGGAAAGTCACAGTAAAACTGCTGAGAAACAAAGCCAAAAAAAATCTCAAAAAGAGCCCGAAGAAAAAGTAAGCATTGTCCTCACGGGAGCAGCAGTGAGACCGGCAGCTGACTTGCTAATGAAACACTGGAAGCTGGAGGCAAATAGGGATGACATCACCAAAGTGCTGAAATAAAATTACTGCCAATCTAGAATTCTACACTCAGTGAAAACATGCTTCAAAAACGAAGATGAAATAAAGACGTTTTCAGACCAGAACTGAGAGAATTTTTCACTAAGATGGGCAGAACAAAAATCCCAGATGGAAGCACAGAGACACTGGGTGTAATAAAGAGCAAAGAAAAGGGTGAATCTAAATATTGACTTTATAATATAAGAATAATCATGCTTTATGGAGTGTGTAATACACAGAAAATTAAAATATACGATAGAGTTCATCAGTTGGGATGTAAAAGGAATTGAAGTGTTCTAAGGTCATTGCATATCTGGGAAGGACAGTGTTCGTTCAAGTGAGATCTGAGTTCAGACAGTACAACAGGATCAGCACAGTGGAGCTGTGCACGGGTGGCTATGGGAGCTTCATTTCCATGAGTAATGAAGAACGTGACAGCAGGTGACCTGCTCTAAGATGCTTACATGACTCAGCCTGACCTGTAGCGCCGTGTAAAGATTAGGATACAATGCAAGAGATCACAAGCTTTTAAAGCACATCAAAATCACCTGGTTCTATTCACAGAGATTCTGATTCATGAAAACATCTGGGATCCAGGAAGCCTGGCTGTAGACAAGCACCCCCGAGAGATGCGGATTCAGGCACCTCCCAGAACGCTGGGAGAAATGCTGCCATGAATGTTATGTGAGGAGGGCTGCGGCAAGCGAGTCCTGCCTGCTGTTCACCATGTGTTATTTTCCTCCTGTAATCCCAATGGCCCAGTAACAACACTCATTATCACTTCACAAGGAGGGCTCTTTCAAAGGTAATTTTAACTCATTCCTCAGGATTTATTTTTAACTTCATAGCCTTGAAAGTCAGCTATTGTTTTATATTAAACAGAGAGAAAAAAGACAGCTTGTTATGCTCTCAGAAACCGTCTAAAGCTGGGCTGCTTCCGTGTCTCTGTGTTCGGAGTGTGCACGATCGTCTCCTGACTGTTGTCCCAACCCCCCTGTGGAAGCCCTTACAGTACCTCTCTCTTCCAGCTCTCTTGCTGCATTTGTTGCAACTCTGTAAAGCAAGGAAAATTAGTGCGTATATGAAGCAGTGACTTCATGGTCAAGTGAACAGCACAAAGTGGACGTCCAGTGTGAGCATCCGATGAGAGCTCTGGGCCCTCTGGGTAGAAAATGCACTTAGACACAGAATTTTGCACGGGATTTCAAGGGATTCCACAGACCCTGTGTAAAGAATCCTTTTCTTTAGAACTCTGAAGGAGAATTCTGGAAGGGGCTTCAGTGTCATAGATAGCCACAGAGCTGAACGGACCCCCCCTTGATTTACAGATGGGCACACTGAGACGGCAAGGTCTCTGCCACTTGTGGGCTACGAGAGAGACCAGAGGAGAGTCCCTGTCTCTAGCTCAGTGCTCCTGCCACTGCTGCCTGTGATATGACACGAAGCCCAGGACCCCTCAGACCCCACTTACCCTGTCCCCAGAGAGTGGCCCCAGAGGCACACGGGGGTGGTGCCGCTTCTCGCCTTAGTCCACTCATAGACACAGATAGCGTCGGCCGTCAGTCCCTCCTCAGTGGGCGTCCCTGTAGAGTCCCCGAACCCTGGCAGCAGGGAAGGCCAACACAAGTTGCAGCCTCTAAAATGAGGTCACTCCAAGCCTCCCTTGGGAAGTCTTGCCCTGTTCTCAACACATACCTCTGTAGTCCACAGACAAGACGTGGAAGCCACCGTCACTCAGCTCCTAATCGACAGAGGGGCTGTTATCACTTTAAGTGGAAGATGCAAATAGGGAAGGGGAACAAAATCTCCGCTCCTCCTCAACACATCCGTGACCCCAGTTGTGATGGTTTAATGGGAAGGGAGAAGAGATATTTCTGAATCTGGTATTTGACTTCAAACTTAAGAAGATCAGGCTCCGTGGGAAAGAAGGAGAGTATCGTGGAGGATTGTTGGAAGATTACATGAGATGACAAAGTATCTTGGTACACAGCACATGTCTTTTTTAAGAATTCCCTTGAGAATAAGAACTCTACACAGAGTTGTAGTGGAGGCAGTCAGATAATGGGAAGAACTTTATGTTAATGTGAACAAAGAGTTAACATGGATCCAAAATAAAGAGGTCACTCGATTATACGAAAGCACTGCCAAGCCCCTGTAGATAAATGAGGAAAGCCTATGGAAACATCATTTTAATGAAATGAATTGCAAGAGACAAAGAGAAGAGAGAGAAACGGGGGAAAATTTACTGTGCAGACACTTTTAAAACTTTATTTAATCCTCACAATAGTCCTGTAAGGTAGGTATTATGCCCATTTTACAGATAAAGAAACTGAGCCTTGGAAAGTTTAAGTAACTTGTTCACACCTGGGTCTGCTTAGGTCCACATGCTGTGTTTTCCCCACCACAGCACAGATGTGGGTGGCTGGATCTCATTGGGACTTTTATATACAAATTAAACTAATAATGAGGAACTAAATGAAATTTTTAAATATCTATTTAAACTACATTCCCTCCAAGAAAGTTATCCAGACCCAGAGCAGTTAGCATCCAGGGAAATGGAATAGTATATGTTGTTTGTTGTAAACTGAGGGACCAGTTGACGGTACAATTCAAGAACAACAGCAGCAGACCCTACTCCTAAGAATTTATCTCTAGGAAAAAATTCTGAAAGAAGAATAAACTAAATGCTTACAGTTTTCTGTAGCAATACTATTTAAAGTGAATTTAGGAAAAAAAAAAACCCACTGGTATCTAAGCGCAGTGGAATAGTTAAGTAAGTAAACGATTGTCCATAAATACAATGGAGCGTGAGCACCTTTAAATTGGTGACTATGAGACTGTGGAAAAACATGGAAGAATGTTTAGGAAATTATATATGGATCCAATCATAGTAATATAAAAACTATAGAGAGAGATAAAGACTAGGTGGGAAGGCAAATAAGTGAAAATGGCTGTATTGGGTGATTGAAGTGATGAATGGATGAATGAATGAAAAAGAGAGAGGGAGGGGAGGAAGGAAGGAAGAAAGGACAATTTAATAATAAAGATTTAATTTTTAAAAGAAATCTCTACCCAAAAGAGAAATTGAAGGGCTGAGGAATTTTGGGAAATGATGCATATGGCACCCAGAGTCTGCCTGGGGCAGAAGTCTCCCCATACCCCCACCCATCCCAACTCCCACAGGGAGTTCTGGCCACTTTTCACACCTACACTTCCAACTCCTCTCCCTTCTGTGCACATAGGGGACACATAATTCAGCTTTGCCAAGAGTGGGAGGGAAAAAAAAATACACGTTCTCAGGGACATCAGCTTCACCACCATCCCACGTGAGAAGTGCAAAGAGTGGGGTTCAGGGTAGAAAGCAAACCTAAAAATTAATAGACATCATCATCCCAGGCAAAACTGCATGCAGCCCACACTACTCGGCCAGAGTGGGCTCTGAGGAGGCCGGGATGGGAGAGGGAGGAGTGGATGGGGCTGGGGAGCCTCCTGTCTGAACAGGGTCTGGGACACTTCTGGGCCCCACTCACACTGTTGAATCAGGAAGGAGCTCTGAGGTGGGAGCTGGCATGTTGGAGGAGAGATCAGGTCCCCCGGTCAATAACTGGACAAGCAGCCCGCTCACCTGCGAGATTACCAAACGGGAGCGTGGGAGAGGAGACACAGCCTGCCCGCCCAGCTCTGAGTCAGGACAGCCTGCCATCTTCCTCACACCTGGAAGTGCAGGGGCTGCCCCAACAAGCCGGAGCCGTGCAGCAGGAGGGTGAGGGGAGCAGAGTGGGGCCCCCCCCGCTTTGCAAAGCCTTTATGGGGCTGAAGCCGGGGCCTCAATGACTTTCGAAAGCAGACGTTCTGTCTTTTCCTCTACCACAAAAAAGGTTGTTTCTTGTAGGAGTGACTTTCGCACTTAATATACTCTCTCAACCCATCCCCTAGCCCTCTGATAAAGCAAATAAATGTGTCTGCAACTCCATCTGGTGATGAAGGTGATAAATGCATGAAAGTGTCTTAGGACTCAGAGATGTTCACATCTGTTTTGATCCCCCGTGGTCACTGCAGGACAAGAAGTCCACGTGTGGGACTTTGGGGCCCAGACTCCACACCCCCCGGGGAGCTCTCAGTAGATGACCGTGCTGAGGGCTGAGGACGATCTTATGGCTGTTGCCCAGAAGAGAATAAATGGAGACATAAAATCGGTGCCTTGAGGCTCCTTGAGACATACCTTTACTAGCTTCAGTCTGTGAGGAGCTGCCCTATAGAGGAGGTTACAAAAAAAAAAGAGCAAGAATTAGGAATTACAGTGACAAATTCAATAAAAATCACTATCATGCTGCTGGCATCTGATCTCATGGTTTCTTTCTCAGGTTAGAGGAATGAATCACTAGGAGAAAGGGAGATGACTTTGGTGTCATAGCCCCAGGACATGTCAGGATGAGTGACGGCGGCTCCCCACTGCTGCCAACTGGAAGGAGACAGGGGCCCTGCTCTCTAGTGCTTCTCAGCATGAGCATCACGGATCACTGATGACCAACCTCCCTTCACTTCCTTACAGCAAAACTCATTTCTAAGAATATTTGTAGAAGCTGAAGGAAAATACATTCCGGAAAGTGGCTTTTCAGAACAAAGAATGGTACAGTCATGTTCAGTAAACCAAGATCTGTCTGTACTCTGTCCACTCTGCCATGGAGTGCAAGAGGAAGTGAAGAAGAGAGACTCCCGGCCCTGGAGGTACAAGAAACATCTTTTTCCAAAACAACAATATGTCTACTCTCTGTTAACCACATTAATAAAAGAGAGACAAAGATGATTCAAAAGGCAGACGATTCTTTAAAAACTGTTTGAATTTTGTCTTAGAGCCAAGTTTCTTAAACTTTAGTAAATCATGGAGCCCTTTGAACATGTGGTTAAAGCTATGGACCCATTTCCCAGAAAACTGTATCCACACTTCCAGTGTTAGGTACAGTTTTGGGGAGGGGGTACGTGGGCCCTCTGGGGCATGTATGGATCCCAAGTCTAGAACCACGTGTGCAACAAGTTTCCCCGCTCCTCCCGTGTGGCCTCCTGTCAGCCCAGCACAGCTGGTAGCAAGTGGAGACTGCTGGGCAGGGCAGGAGGAGGCTGGGCCAACCCAGAGCCAGCAAGTTAGGGTGGCTGAGAGCAGGTTCACACAGAGGGGCAGGCGTGGATGCGTAGGCCACAGCGTCCTTTAAATAAGTACTCTGTAACTCCCTGCCCACGTCTGCACAACCAGAACAACGTGAAACAATGTTGAAAAATGTTGATTTTCGTAGGAAATCCCTGTAAATGTGACTCTCTGGTGGACACCTCAAGAAAGCCCCTTGAGCAAAGGCAAGTCTTGAGAAAGCCATCATCTGACAGAAAAAGACAGTGAGAAAAAGAGAGGCAGCCAAGGCGGGGCAGGCGGGGCAGCCAAGGGGCAGCTTCCAGAGCTCGTCACTGGTTTGAAGTGTCCCTCCAGAGAGAGCGAGGTCTGGGGTCTCCGAGGCTCATCACCCCTGCCCCGAACCAAAGAGGCGCAGTCACTGCTGGTAATCATTGCCCCCCGTAATTGCACAGGCCCACCACAGGCTCTGCAGCACAGCAGAGAGCCAGGCTTCCAGAGGCCTTCTTTGTGACAAATGAGGCTGGGACCACAGGGAGTGGCTGGGCACTGTATTCTAGGCTGGAATTAGTCAGATGGTCCCCGGCACCTGTGGTCAGAATTCTGGGTGATCTCCGGTAGGGGGTCCATACTTTTGATCAATAGGATTCATGCTAAATAAAGGAATCTCCAGGTAGTTTTGTGAAAAGACCATCAATGTGGAAATTGCTCTATCTTTTCCTTGTATCTCCTGCCTGTTCTCTTTCCAGTCCTCCATGGGTTCAATCCATCATTTCAGACTCTCTTAGGGAGTAAGTGAACCACTGCCTTCTTTGAGATCAATATCCAAATTTTGGAAGTTAGTCTCCCTTTCAGTTATGGATCCACATCATTCTACATATTGAATATATAGATTTTTTTAAAAAGAGAAACTCATTGCCAGAACACCCTCAAATTTTAGCAAAGGAAAAAAATGTGTGGAGACATGCTGAAAGAGTTGAAAACTGAGACTGTCTTTCACTCCCCCCAGGGCTGAAATGTTCTCTCTCTTAAAATAAAAGATCCGAGCAAAGTCGCTGACCTGTGCTCCGCGCTGCCGTGAAGATAAACAATAATTGGGTTGCCGTCGTGAAGGGCCGCTTCATACCAGCAACGGTCCTTCCCCTTGGCATCTTCCCCCCGGCAGCTGGGGACCGTGTGCCTGTGACAAGGAGAGGTTTGAACAAATATGTCCAGAAGGAGGACACATCTCCCCATGCCGGAGTCTGAAACCCTGCTTATGTCAATCACATAGTTAGATAGATGGATGGATAGATATAAATGTATATGTTTATATTTATATATCTAAATTTTTATCTGAGTAATATACGCACATGTAAAAATTAAAATATAATACCACAAACGTCTTATAATGAAAATCACTACTCTCCTACACCACCCTCCACCATCACCTCCCCGCCCAGCAGTGCACAGAGAGCACCTTTTGACCATTTGCTGTTTTGGTTCCTCTGACTTCTGTCTACACCTATTAATCTTCCAGGACTGCAATCCTTAGCCGCAGTCCACTGACATGCAGTTCACTGGGTGGAAACAAATAAAAGATAATAGATATTTGCCACCTGCTATGGTTTGGCTGCAGAGACAAGTCGGAAAGAATTTAAGGAAACCCACTTTGGTAGGAGAACAGCACTTGAATATGAAACTAAGCTCTTCTACTCAAGAAACCCAGTGACTTTGTGATTTTAAACACCTGTCTGAGCTCCAGTTCTTCCACATTGTTACAACAATGAACAAACCCTGAAAATACGAACACTGCCAAGGGACATGTCCCAGGACTTGGAGATTGGACATGCGATGATACATCTTCAGTCCTCTCAATCATTTAGGGGCAGAAAGTCTGACATCAAACCCCAGGCCTCTGTACTGAGAAGGCAGACATCGCTGCCCACCAGGTAAGCCCATCATGAGGACAGTTGACTCCCCAAACCAAGAACAGATGGAGCGGGAACAAAGAAGAAAAAGACACTGTTGGCTGAACTGTCCCCTGCAGATTAGGGAGAAGGTAGGTGAACCCACATTGGTTCCTCAACACACTATGCTCAGATATTTAAACTGTGGGAGATGAGATTTAGACCAGGGCCTAGAAAACTGAAGCCAAGAGCGAGCAGGAGAACCAAAGAGAAGAGAATACTGAGACCAGCACAGTGAGAAGACAAGGGAACGCTTGTGACTTCTGACAGGTGTTTACTGAGTGCCTTCTATAGGCCAAGCTCCGTGCCAAGCAGTGAGAACCCACCCACAAGGTCTCTCCCCTGTGAAAGCTATAGTCTTGTGAGGAAGACAAACCTCAACCAAACAATCGCACAGACACTTGTTTAGTTACAGTGGGAACAAACGCCATACAGGGCAAGCCCAGGTTGCACTAACATTTGCCTAAAATGGGGGATGAGGAAAGACCTCCCTGAAAAGAAGCAAACTGAGACCCAGAAGACGAGTCAGTAGTTAGTTAGGCAAAGAAGGGGACGGAGGGGGCAGAGAGAGAGGTGTTGAGGACAGAGCACATTGTGCGAGAGTATGGCTTCTGGGTCCACGTGCGAGAGTGTGGCTTCTGGGTCTGGAGTGAGCGGGAAAGTGGAGGGAATGAGGCAGGAGAGGGGTGGGCGGTGAGGCCTGGTGAGGGACCCAGAGCACAGGGCAACGACCTCACACTCCAAACAGAATTCCTGAAAAGGAAGACCAAGCACGTCCAGTATCAGTGCAGAGGGAAGGTGTGGAGCAGACGCCAGGTGCCTGCCGGGCCTCCCACCTCCCCACAGGTGCTCCCCCTCGTCCGTCAGCACTCACCAGATGCCCAGAGTCACCCCAGGTTCAGCTCTGATGTAGAAGTTCACTGTGTGAGGGATCTTTAACTCTGGCTTCTTTAAATCCACAAGAAACGGTGCTTTGACTGGAAAGCAGGAATCATGATCAATTCCCAGAATCAAGTTCCATGTCTTTTAATCACAATCAAAAAATGTAATTAGTCTTACTGTTAACATGCTTCTAAGCTGCAAGCTACCACACTAAACTCCTAGCAGTGTTTTACTTTATAAATGAAGATGAGCCCACACAAGAGTTAACAAAATCTAAAGCTAGATTTTAAAATAGCACCAGTGTGGAAGCCCACAGTAGAGTTTACTCAATCCTGATCTTTGTCTCAGGCTAAAAGCAAGAAGACCATTCCCCTAAAAAGGTGAGAGAGTCTAGAAGAGTAATGAGCATTCTGCGACCTGTCAAGCGTTACCAGGAGCCATGAAAGGTCGAGGATCAATCTCCATCTGGGGACGTGCAGGCAAGAGCAGGACTGTGTGTGACGTTGACTTACACAGCTCTCAGTAGGAACAACATGGGAAATAGATTCCTCACCTCTGCATGTCCCTCCAGCTCCCTCCCTCTCTCCATGTCTGTCTGTCTGTCTTTCTCTCAAGGGCTATAGGTAAGAAGAGGAAGTGACAAAGCAGAGAATACAGTAATAGTAAGGTATCCATATTAACAGCTAATTTGAAGACGGAGCTCCTGAATTGAAACTCTACCCACAGGCTATGTTTTTCTATCCCTCCGCAACAGTTTGCAAGGATTCACACTAGACCCCAAAGCCCACATTAAATAGGTTTCAGACCGTTTGAGTCCAGCCACAATTTTATAGCTGACATGTCTTTTTCGTCATGTCACAACTACAAGGGCAGTGAGTTCTTTCTTTGGGAAAAAATACATAGACAAATTAATGAAAGATATACTTACAAAAATTTAAAAAAATTAGCATGTCCATCAGAGGAGGAAAAATGTGTTCTTTTAATGATTTACTAGTAAAGCTGTCATACAGAGTGGCAATTTTTCTTCCGAGTGTTGAACAGGAGTGTGGAATAGATCTGCAAAGTATTGTGAGACAAACAAGCTATTCAAATCAGTCCGAGTTTTGTCTTGGTGTGTTTTTTCTCTTAACGTCCCAATCAAATTTCAGAGACAACACTGGGAATTACAGGTAGCTTGGCATTTGAGTAAAATCCTTTACAGAACTATATGTAATTAGGGCAGATCAAAACTAGGCACTGAGGGGGAACTAGAAGAGGGAAGCAGCAAGTCAGGGCCCCAACCCCCTGCTGAAAAAGCCCAGGTGTAACAGGACAGGAGGAGAGGGACATGGAGCCCAGGTGTGACAGGA